AACTTTTTTTGATATTTTCAACATATAATCCAAAAATCATATTTTGGGGTAGTTTTTAATTTTTTTCACCCTTTTCCCGGTGGTTGAGAACTTTTTTACTTTGCCCACAGTTTTGTACGCATTTTTCTGATAATTTCCATATTTTTTCAGCCGTATAGCTAAAAAACCCGATTTCGGAGCTATTTTGACTGGACTATAATCGATTTATCGCTGGTTCGAGCCTCAACGGTTTAACTTCTTATTTTTATTTTTTATTTTTTCTATTTTTCTATAGTAAGTTATATAATTTCTATTGAAAATATAATAGCAAATATGATGTATTTATTTTTACAATATGTGTCATATCTTTTCTATTTAAAAATGTTTTTTATTTTATTGAAAAATTAATATTAAATTCTTTATTTCGCAAATATTATAATTAATAATTGTGAAATATATAGAATATAATAATTGTATTGTCGGCAACATTTTACAAAAAAAAGGATTATACAAGATACATCAGAGGAAAAGAATTAGACAACACTGTAGAATACATTAGAAGCAGCTGACCAACTCCATTCAAAAACAAGTAAATTACTATCACATTTTTATTTTCCTTCTTTATAAGATATATTTGATTCATTAAGAATAAAATATGTCTATTGAATTTGAGTTTTATATGTTTTTATAAAAAATATACAAAGACTTATATTGACCCAGGTATAGAAGAAAATTATTTTATTAATTATAATATTTACGTAATAAAGAAATTTATGTTAATTTTTCAATCAAATAAAAACAATTTTAACACGCTGAACGTCCAGCGTGAATGGGTGGATTTTACCCACATTTGAGACTCGTAGTGTACACAGTTCAATAAGCTGACAGAGCGATAGGAGAGCTTGGTTTTTTAAAAGGTTTCACTTCTTACGTGTGTTATCTGCACACATGATATTTTTTCATTTAAATAATCATAAAAGACATAATTGTAAACAACATGATTATTTGCAGAAACGGCAATGGGTATCTCTTTACAGGTGAATGACGAACAAAAGCTTAAATATCGCAACGCCGTTTATGCTATACTCAATATCATTCCAAAAAGGTAATTATTAATTTTTTTATTAAATATGAAGTATATTAAACAAAAATTGGTATTGTTATTAGAGCTTCAAGACCTTGGTATTTATTAGACAATATATTTGCATTTTCATCACAAGGACGATTGCAAGAAGAACTATTACAAACGTTGCATGGTTTTACAAAAAAAGTACGTGTAGTATATTTATAACCTAATTTCTAATAAAAGTCATATCACCTTTGGAAGTAATTATTGTTATTTTAGATAATTGCAGAGAGAAAACTTTTTCACGAAAAAACAAATGGAAAATATTTAAAAACTTTCGAAACGGTTGAAGAGAATGACGTTTTTCCCGAAGGACACGAGGAGAATATCAAAAGTATTTTACTTATATAGTAATCATGAATCATAATCATGATAGAAGTAATAATCAAATGTTTTTATCGTAGATCCGACATACAAAAAAAAACTTGCTATGTTAGATTTACTAATAGCAGCTTCTTGGAATGGAAATCAAATTGATGATGAAGGAATCAGAGAGGAAGTGGATACATTTATGTTTGCAGTAAGCTTCAGTATATTTATTTTTTTCTAATATTAAGATGAAATGAAAATAATTTAGAAAAAAAATCTCCGTAGGGTCACGACACTACTGCAACGGCATTGGTCTTTCTTCTGAGTCTTATAGCTAAACATAAAGACGTTCAGGTGACGTTTTTAGCATAACAATGGATACAATATTTAATAACAACTATGGATGTAAATTATAATTTGTTATAATTATATAGAATTCTTTTAATGACAATTTATGTTATAGGAACGTATAAGAGAAGAAGTGAATAGTATTATGAACCAAGAAAATTATCAAATGACGATGTCGGTGGTTCAAGAATTTTCCTATTTAGAGAGATGCATAAAAGAATCTCTACGTTTATACCCAAGTGTCCATTTTGTGGCACGATATTTAACTGATGATATGCAGTTAAGTATGTAACATAATCATCGTACATTCTAATATATTCATTCATATTTTATCATTTTGATGAAATAATCTTAATTATAAAATTTTCAGAAAAGTTTTTAATCCCAGCCGGTACTAACATTCGAATTAACATCTTTCATTTACACCGAAATCCAGAATTTTGGCCCAATCCTGATGTTTTCGATCCTGATAGATTTTTACCAGAAAATATTAGTAAACGCAATGCGTACTGTTATATTCCATTTAGTGCAGGATTAAGAAACTGCATTGGTAAGAATACTATACATAAAAAAATTATAGATAAATTTAAACAAAATTTATATGTGAATATTACCTTTTTTTCWAGGTCAAAAATATGCAATGTTCGAAATGAAACTTATGGTTGCCCATATATTACATCACTTTTATTTAGAGCCAGTAGAGGATTTGGATAACATTAAATTGATAGGAGATATTATTTTGCGACCAGCGAAACCACTTCATGTCAAATTTATTCCGATAAAATTATAAGAACTAAATTTTTTTTTATTGAATATTTCATCAAATGAATTTTAGTATACAGGTAAGGGAACTACTTTCATCATTAGATGATCGAGCTGCTTGGAACTTTTAACCAATGGCGACAGCTTTCAGGTACTATCATACCACCACACCAACGCGCATGCGCAGTGATTGAAACTGAGAAGACTCGACATCGAATAATAAGCCCTTACTCTAATCGTTCTCGTAATCGCTATTATTATGTTTTTGTAACTTGGTTATCTCAGTTCTTTTCAACAAATTTCATACTGTTTCTTTAATCTATCCACTGCTCATTTAGTGCATTACCACTTACATTCTGAACTCGTGGATGTGCCGAAATCGCGTGCATTAAAATTCTCACTTTCATTCCATTTCACTTGAGTTACATCGCGATAATTAGAATCAATCGCGTTTAGTGTCATAATTTTTTTGCAAATTCGTTTAGATTACTTATTGATATACTTTTATGTTCTCTCATTGTAATTTACCAATAAAGATCTCACTTTTCGTGCTCATTCACTCTTCTTAAATGTTGAATTTTGACTTATCCTTGATGTTTATGCATAGCATCGGCATAAGCGAACACTTAGTCCATTCCTAAAGAAATACTCTGTCTTAAGTCCACTGGTCCAATACTTCAGTAATGTCTATTTATGTATTTGGGCATGGAGGCGTCTGTTCCAAATTTATATTATATTTACGTATTTATATTTCGAGATTGTTATATACCTTGATGTCTACGGGTCGAAATTCAATACAAATAATATTTTACTTTTGTAATTTTCACATTTATTGTTCTTTAACATATAGTTGGTTAAAACACATTGTGCTCCACGAGTAGTATTGTTGATCTTGCATGTCAATTTAAATCAGTCAATGTATTATTACTTACCTAAGCATATATGAATATTGTACGTAATATCACATTATTCTTTTTGAAGTGAAAACTTTTTTAGAATGGGTGTGATTCGAAAAAATGTAACGAAGCTGTAAGCGGCTTCGTAACGGAACGGTAGGAGGCTATGAAACGGAAACAATACTAAATAAGAGGAAAAGAAGAGACAAACATATAGGATTGAGCCTGCGAGAGAATGAAACAGAATATAGCTATACAGTTTTTCCTATTCTCGGTCTTTGATTCGTGGTCCCCACTCCTGGCTACTAAGCTTTGTGTGCGTGCGTGTGTGTTTTTGTGTCACAAAGGCAAGCTCTGTTTCTGGCGTAATGTTGCTACGTCAGAGCGTTGCTATGGTAACCATCAACGGTTTTTCACATATAACTAAATCGTACTTTGTCCGTTACAAAAAAAAAACTTTCTATTTCTCCATTGGACGTCTTCGACGATACATCTAAGACAATCTGTGAAGAAATAATGAAACAAGCGACTAAAAGTTGATCAAATTCAATAACAAGCGACTAACCGCGGTATTTATATTCCGGTCTCAAGACAATCCTTAAGGTTATCTTAGCTAAGCTCGTCTTATAGCTTTTAAGACTACATGTATTCATAGAAATACATTAAGATGATCTTAGGTAAGACTTCTGTATCATGTGTGACTTAAGCTTAGGTTTGATAAGATGACGCTTAAGATAATCTTAATTTATATTCGTCAATTTCCGTAATAATTCTCATGTATCCGATAATTTGATTCGCTTAAAATGTATCATACACACACACACACATATATATATATATATATATATACGAATTCTTTATAGAGTAATTTTTCATTACTATTAACAATTACAAATGATTTCATTATGTCTGCTTTTCAAAAAGTAGAAAATTATGTAATAAAATAAAAATAGATTTATAATTTTTATGCATTAAACATACGCTCAATGCTTCACGAAATGCAAAACCATCAGCAGGTTGCCAATTTGGTTCAGGTACATGTACGTCTTCATCTTGTTCTTCATCTGAATCATCGTCTGGTAAATTATCATTAAACCTTAACGACATATTATATAATACAGCACAGGCTACAACAATTATGGTTGAACAAAGAAGTTTGGTTGTTAATCCTCTTGATAAACAAGGAAATCGTCGTTTCCATACACCGTAAGTTCTTTCCACTATGTTTCGTGTCCTACTCTGAATGTTATTATACCTGTATCAAGCAACGAAAAATTAATAAATTAATAATAGTGTTACGCTGTGGAATGAAAATTTAATAAAAAAATGAATCTATTAAGAAAATGTATGAGTTTTTAATCTATTTAAAAATAAATAACAGCTATAATCACTGACGTGATTTCTTCGTCCGTTACTGGGTTATTGATTGGTGTCATTAAGAACGGTAGACATGGATATCCAGCATCACCAACTAATATTCCATTTAGTTGATGTTCTAAATATCTCATGTAAATTCGAGAATTTTGAAAAATTCTACTATCATGAGCACTACCAGGCCATTCTGGCACAATATCTAAAAATTCCATTCATGGACCAACAACTGTCTATAAGATATTTTTTAATTAAAAATTTTTGAATTCATCTATCTTAAGGATTTAAGGGTTCATTCTGGTTTATACGCCGAAAAAAGGCTATTTTCACGATTTTTTTTAGGCTTTGTAGGATACATATACATATGAAAGTTTTTGGGTAAGATAAATACACTCTAGAAGTACGAGAAAGAAATTTTTTTTATTGTTTTTAACATTTTTTGACATTCAAAATGGCTGACAAACGTGAACCCTTCAAAAGTAGGTATGCTGTTGGCGGGCATCGAAATTTGAGAACAGGTGATCTAAAACAAAAAAATTAAACAGTTTTAAATTCAGTATGACAATGGCTATTGGGTATGCTACAATTATCAATTTTTATGAAAACAAAACAAAATGACGGCCATTTTTCGAAAAATAAAAAAATCAACGATTTTTTTCGCACTTTTTTACGAAAAAAATATAGTAAAAATTAATATTTTGACTTGATTGTAGCATGCGAGATAGCTATTCATGTGTAGAGTATGTGGTTAAAATTTCAGAAGGATCGGTTGAGTAGTTTCGGAGATATCATGCCCGCCAACCGAAAATACGTTGTTTCGAGAAAATGCGTTTAAAGTTTCTTTTAACAAATTTTTAAAAAGTCTGGCTTTACCTTATTCTGCGATGCCTGCACCATATAGTATGCCTTCTGCTTCTTCAAAATACTCATTTTCTTCCTCTTTAGTCTTTTTTCGTTGTGTCCTGGCCTCTATCAAAGATTCTCCGCTCAAACGATTGGCTGAGCGCACACGCATGTTGTCGCGGTTACTAGCGTAATTGACTGCGATAGGGCCAAATTTTATCCCCAAAACGTGCATTATTTTCAGTATTGGGTCAAAACCTTCGTTGAATATACAAGCTGCGAATTTAAAAGCTATTTCAACAATTTTTGTACCATTAAATAGGTGTTTAGGCGCCATAGCCCAAACGCATTTGTTGAAGCACTCATTATTATTTTGAGTGTAAACATCTTTCAAGTAATTCTGTTTTTGTCAGGTCAACATCAACCTTTTGTTTTTTGCAGCTATATTCATGCAGAGACATTTCCACTTACACCATCGCAGATGATTTGTCTCCTCTATCTGTAATATCTGTATGTGTTTGGGTCGCAAAATAATATACTTAGACTGCTCGGTTCGGTCTAAAATTTTTGTATGATAATTCTACATATGTCTACTTTCGAAAAGTGCAAAAAAAAAATAGATTTTCTCAAAATGATAAACCAGAATGAACCCTTAATGGTGAAAAAAAAATTTCATATGAACTTGTACATTGAGAGAAAAATAACCTTTCCGATTTCTGTATATTTCATCAATTTATTTGATAATCTTGTATGAACTTATCGTATACGAGTACAATCAATTGCTCCATCAACACCAGGTATTCTAATAGCTCCCTTACCAAATCCTAGGTTTTTAAAAAGCCTCTGATTTTCTAATATATCTTCTTGAGTTTGTGGCATTTTTATGTAATCATTAAACA